GACCAAAAGAGCTTGGAAACGAACCACACGCACCGAAAACAAACAGTTTTGCGATACAACAACGGGAGGATCCTACACTCACTAAATGCTTTTCTAGGGCAGAAGTAACCGGTGTTAGAACATGTAAGCAAGGTACATGGCATTTTTATGTGAAGAATGGAATTTTAATGAGATATTTTAAATCACCTGTTATGCAATGTAAACAATTAGTCGTTCCTTTATGTTATAGAACCGATGTTCTGAGAGTTGCACATGACACACCTTTCGCTGCACATTTAGGTATAGGTAAAACACAGAAAAGAGTTCTTGCACAATTCTATTGGCCTGGTTGTTCCACAGATATTAGGAAATACTGTAGGTCATGTAAAGACTGTCAAATGATGGCGAGAAAGGATGCATCTCAGAAACCTCCTATTCAAAGGGTCTATCTTCCATGTCGTCCTTTCGAAAAAGTTGCGGTCGATCTTGTGGGTCCGCTACCGGTTGTTTCACAAAGAGGATTTAGATACATTTTAACATTTGTAGACATGGCATCACGTTGGATTGAAGCAATACCGTTACGTCATATCACTACTGAGTCAGTAGCAGAAGCATTGATGCTTATATTCTCTAGAGTAGGCTTTCCTGAAACAATCCTATCAGATCACGGATCACAATTTATTTCAGAAGCAATGCGCTCTTTTGACAAATTACTTGCCATCTCTCACGTTTTTTCTGCAAGATATCACCCACAATCAAATGGGCTAGTAGAAAATTTAAATGGGAAAATAAAAGCTATGCTAGCCAAAGTTACTAATCAATTTCCAGCAGACTGGGACAAATACCTTCCTGCTGTTTTGTTCGCCTATCGTGAGGTGCCCCAGAGCAGTACAGGTTTCTCACCTTTCGAACTTATATATGGTGCTAATCCCAGAGGTCCACTGTCGCTGTTAAAGGACATATGGATCGGTAAAGGCGATCAAGAAGCGCCTCAAACATATATTAAATTCGTGACGGAGTTACGTAACAAGATAATCTCAGGATGTCAAGTTGCACGGGACAACTTGGAAAATGCTGGTACTCATCAAAGAGAATACGTTAACCGTAACCGGAGACTGATCACTCTCCAGCCTAATGATGATGTATTGATATTTCTGCAAGATAATAATAATTGTTTATTAGCCAAATGGCAGGGTCCTTTTAAAGTTATTAAGAAAATTTCAGATGTGGACTATCTTATTGATGTCAGAGGACATCATAAAGTATATAATCTAAACATGCTTAAAGAGTTTAAGTCTCGCCCTGGTGTTTTGTCTGAAGTGTTAGAAGCAGCTGAGGCACCCGACAATAATTTGCAAGAAGAAGAAATGGAGGCAGCATTCTGCCACGTCATTGACGAAGAGAGCAATGATGTCGAGGTGGACACTGCTCATCAATTGTCTCTACCCGAACTGGTACCCAGAGAAACATGGAGAGACGTGGAAGTCGCGCCCTCGGTTCCACCAGATATGGTGCGTCGTATAAAGCGTATTTTGGCTACATTCGACAAAACATTATCGGACATACCGGGTAGAACGACAGAAGCAGTGCATTCCATTAAATTAATAGATCATAAACCCATCAAAATGAAACCATATGTTATACCTTTTCATTATCAGGATGCCGTGGATAAGGAAATCGATAACATGATTAAGTGGGGTATAATCGAACCGTCGACATCACCCTATGCTTTTCCAATAGTGGTTGTCCGAAAGAAAGATGGAAGCCTTCGGATCTGCATAGATTTCCGAAAATTGAATCGAATCACGGTTGTAGATGCTGAAAATATCCCAAATATGGAAGATATGTTTGTTGCATTGTCGAAGGCTAGGTATTTTACAAAGTTAGATCTTACCAAGGGTTATTGGCAGATTCCCTTAGCCGAGGATTCCAAAAAATACACCCGCGTTTCAGACGAACAAAGGTTTGGTTCACTTCAACTATATGGTCTTCGGGCTTTCCGGAGCACCGGCGACGTTTCACCCGCCTCGTACGCAAGTTGTTACAGGGTCGTAATGATGTTATTCATTATCTGGATGACATTCTGCTTTTCCATAATGATTTAGACGAACATATTCGAGGTCTAAAGACATTACTGGAACGCATAAAATCGTTTAATCTGACAGTTAGACCAACTAAAGTGAAGGTCGCTTTCGAGGAGGTCACGTTCCTCGGTCATGTTGTAGGACACGGGGTCCGTAAACCCGAAGCCACCACGGTGGGTAAGATTCAGAACATCCCTATACCAAAAACGAAGAAACAAGTGCGTGCGTTATTGGGTTTATGTAACTTTTATGCTAAATTCATTCCTAACTATTCAACCATTACAGCCGTGTTGTCCTCATTGACGATGAAAGGAATGCCAGCGAAGTTATCTGGACGAGAGAGTGCGAGGACGCGCTCCAGAGATTACAAAAGGCATTTAATAGTAATCCGTTTTTGTGTTTGCCAGATTTGTCTCTGCCGTTCTATGTATCCACAGATGCGTCCGATGTGGCGATTGGTGGGACGTTGTTGCAATCCAGAGAGGGCACCCTACTCCCTGTTGTTTATGCCAGCAGGAAGCTGTCTCCTACTGAATGCCGTTACAGCGTGGGCGAGAGGGAGGCACTAGCCATTTTTTGGGCAGTAGGGAAGTTTACCCAATTCCTGTATGGCAGTCACTTCTTTATCTTGACAGACCATCGTCCACTCGAAGTCTTGAACTCAGCACCCATCAAAAACTCACGCATATTAAGATGGACAATGTTTCTACAGACGTTCAACTTCACAGTTATTTATCGCCCAGGGAAAGAAAATGTCTTAGCCGATTTTTTGTCGCGCACCCCAGAGGCATTGGAAGAGGATTGATGTTTATTTGTTGAATTTACATGATATTTAAAATGCATGCTGTTATGAAAAATAATTTGGATAACAATAATGTTGTTGATAATAATGCTTAGTGAAGTCAGGAATCTATATTTTGCATGCATTTAGTAATGTATTGACGATATATTGAGGAGTGAGTGTGTGTGTATTCAAGTGTTCTTATTTGCTCTCTCGTACTGGTGCTGTTTGCCGCGACATGACTCCAGTTTTCCGACCGAGACTACGACAAGTCCTAGTGCTCCTAGTGCTCGGTCGTCCTCGGGAGGGGGGAAAAGCTGTCGCGTGCGAATGTGCACCAGAACGCACCGGTACGGAGTGAGCAAATAAGACGTCAAAACAATACGTAACGTTGTTATGATATTGTTGTAAAAGCAGTTGATGTTTATAGTCCGAAGGAGACGGACGTGTGGATCCTTGAGGACGCTTTACCCCGGGATCCCACGGAAGCAAACGTTATATAAAGTTGGATCCTTGAGGACGTTTTACCCCGAGACTCCAAGACCTCAGCAGGAAGCTGGTGAGCACTACATTCTCGGCAGTAAGCCGGTATACTTTCATTGCTTAATTCGGACTTGTCCGAGGAGAAAGTAAATCGTCTGGATCTCAAGGTCGGACTGCGACCTATCGTGAGGACATATCATTACATGGATGTACGAGCGAGCTTTGGTTGAACGAGTTGATGATTACTTGCATATGTATTCTTGAAATTGATCATTGCATTTGTCAATACACAAATGGAACTTTTAAAGAGAGTTCTTGTTCTACTACGGGAAGCTTCAGCATTCATCATGTTGTGTTACTCTTGGCCAGTGGCATGTTAAGTGTTGATGCCACTTGTTAACTTCTGACACCCCTAGTCACTTTTACACTCGTTACAATGAAGTTCCGCACGTAACAGTAAACCATATTCTTTAAATCAAGACATACAGTAAAGAACCCACCCGGACTACAGCATGAAAGAGCAACACTGACTAAAGAGCCAAGATTCAGATGAGAATCCTGCAGGAACAAATCCAGGATACCCTGTTCGACTTTATAACACAGTTATATTGGAGCTCCATATAGTTTAGAGCAGTGGTTCTCAACCTTCCCAATGCCACAACCCTTTAATACGGTTCCCTCATGTTGTGGCGACCATCAAACAATTATTTTCCTCCATAACTTCCATAAATATGTGTTTTCCGATGGTCTTAGGCGACCCATGTGAAAGGGTCGGCCGACCCCCCCCCCCCCCCCCCCCCCCCCCCCCCCCCCCCCCCCCCCAAAAAAAAGGATCGCTACCAGCGGGTTGAGAACCGCTGGTTTAGAGGTAATTTGCAGTCCAGTGTGGGTGGGTAGGCCTTCTATTTCCCTTATGGGCCCAACTAACACATGGGTGATCTAGGTAAGATAAAGATATATTTGCAACAATTTTATTGTATGTATCTTGTAATGAATTCAACTTGGCTAGGATTTTTCCTGTTAAGAAATCTGGCAGCTTACTAGAATCAATCAAATGTAAATTCTACAATTACAAATAATTTACATAATCCTGACTTATTTTACCCTGGTTGCCCCTGAATTTTTTTTTTTAAGGCATGCTCATGTGGGAATTATCACTATTAACCTTTAAACATATTTACCAGTATTAAATATTTTGTTGTTGCTATTTTTAGTTATTATATTCATAAAGAGGCCTTCTAAACATGGCAAATGTGCAGACAGAAACAAGTGCATTTAACTCTGCTTCTCAAGGACAAGCCATTGAGAAAAGCTAGATAAGCAGCATTTAGAGGAATAGGTCACGAACGGAAATGTAGGTTCGGGGCTTCTTGGGACAAAAGGGCTAAAAACCAATACTTCAGCTATCCTTACTATCAATCACAAGTGGTATATGATATTTAATTTAACTATGACTGTCAAAATGCTTTAAATATGAGTCATGGCAACTTAAAAACAGTTAGTCTTGAGATCCAAACAAAATGTTAAGTCAAAGACTACAAATGCAAAACTTATTTTTGACTATATTATAAGTTACAACACCAACAGTCATAAACAACTGCTTTACTATAGCAGTGCATGCACTCTCAGCAAACAAGAAACTCGCTACATCTGAAGGAAAAGAAAAACTATACCTGTACAAGCTCTTCCAGATTTCTGAAGAACTCTTCATTGTCTACAGATAATTTGTTATCTTCATACTTAATGTGATAATGTTCCACTTTATCTCCGAAGCATACACACAGTGTATAGTCTCCCACGTAGTTGTTGCTGTCTCGCACCAGAAACAGGCCATCCTCTCTGGGATAAAGCAGTTTCTCGGCTTCTTGGCGGGATATCTTACCATGGTACCATCTACAACAGACGAAAGGAAGCATGCACACACTCTACTTATCAAAAATGCAAGCAATTACTATCTGTCCTTTCCTATTACTTACCAATGCTGATTGCAACAAAGAAGAAAAGAATTTGCTTGACAATTACTGTTTTTCACTAGAAATTTATCCCTGTGTTGTTTCGCAGGGCCTCATTTTGAAGGCAAATAATAACAGATCCTCTGCCCTCTAACAAGTATGTTGTACGAGGTGGCTACACATATGTACTGTATACCTTTTGGTTAGTTATTTTGCCAAAATGTCTTCTGATTCTACAAGTTTCCATAGCATATCATTTCTTTTACAGGGTGAAGTAACTTTTCCTTTCTCACTAATTTGATTTGCAGAAACAGAAAATGGAGAAAGTTGGAATGGGAAGAAAAATAAAACAAATGTATACATACATACACATGTCCATATTAAATGAAAGACGGGTATTTATTATGGCTGGTGTAAGAATGTCTACACAACAAATAAAGCTAATTTTGGGTTCAGTCTTTCTCTGCATCTGTTCAACAGAATTCACCCTCTATTTCACACTGAAAAGATTACATGAATTTCCACTCTTGCCAGTTTGAGTATTAATCTACTCTTTTCACACTTCAGTAATACTAATCTAGTATCGTCTGCAAATAGTAGCTCGTTTACTGTATGTGGATCTAGTTTTGTGGAACTGGTTTTCTGGACCTTTTGTAGGTTCACCCTTATTTGAAGACGCTGGTATTAAAAACACACTTTAACCTCCACTAAATAAATAACACTTTAACCTCCACAGAATAAATAACACTTTAACCTCCACTAAATAAATAACACTTCAACCCCCACAAAATAAATAACACTTTAACCTCCACTAAATAAATAACACTTTAACCTCCACTGAATCAGCGAACAATATTTACTCCGCCTTCTTTAAGGTCTTCAATTTCAATTACTATTTTCGATAACAGATGTCCTGCTTGTTTATTTGAACATGATCAGAATTTCATTGTAAAAGAAACTATAAAGCAAATATAATAAATCTGACAAGCACATCATGCTTTTAGAGTTATAACACAATGTACTGTGTCAATTTCTTGTTCAAGTCTGTTAGTACATGTACATATTATATGCTTCTGAACAGTGTTCCTGTACACATTTTGTTGTGAATGAAATATGTTAGTAGAAAACAGAAACACGGAAAATATAACTGAGAGTGCAGAATACAGGAACCCCACTAAAATAGTACTGACGCTCAAAGGTTCTTAATCTTATGAGTGCCTACCCCTTTAACCCTGGGAACTTTAAATAAAATAGACCAGAACATAGTTAGGGTTCTCAAAAAAACAAAAAAAAATCTGTAAAAACAACAATTTGTATATAGGTCACTAATAAATTTGTTAAAAGTGTATTTATAAAAATTTTTAAATTATTTTTCGAAGTATTTAAAGTCGGGCTGTACCGGATATTCGCTTCGTATTCGCTTCGGGGCCGAATAGTGGACCTATTGACTAATCGGTATTCGGCCAAATACGAATAGTAGTTACCTTACATCCGCTTCTGCATACACAGCCTTAATACTGACAACATGGAACGAATGGTTTTGTTGAAAGCTAATGCAGCTTTCCTGCATTAACTAAGCTGTCAGTGACAATTTCCAAGTTTAGTTACTTGTTATAATACTTAGGATTCTTTCAATCCTAGTTATTAGTTACCACAGACTGACTGAAGGATGCAGAACATAAAATGTTTTTAAATGTTTACTATTCTGTACGAATACTAACTAGACATGGAAAGAATATAAACTTCGGCCACATACAAATTGATAATATGAAAATCAAACGAACGGAAACATATAAATACTTGGGTTGCGAACTTCAACTGTTCCAACATGCTGAGAGAAGAAATACAATCTAGAATACAATCTAATGTATAAATTTACAATAAAGTGTACTATGCCCTTCAACATCTACTAAAATCAAAGTGTCTGTCTCGCAACACCAAGATAAAAAATATAAAACGTTGAAAAGACCAGTCGTTTTATATGGCTGTGAAACTTGAAGCAGAAATAAAAGAGATGAGGCCTTAATTCAGGTTTTCGAAAACAGTCTTACAACAAATCTTTGGACGCATCAAAGATGCTAACAGCAGGGATTGGAGAGTAAGAAACAACAACGTAACACATAATCTGTTTAAATCACCATTGATCACTGGCATGTCTAGTTAGTATTCGTACACATAATCTGTTTAAATCACCATTGATCACTGGCATCATGAGAGCTAACAGACTAAAATGGTTGGGGCATATTGAAAGAATGTCAGATGACAGGGAAGTAAAAACTGTATACACCTGAGAGAAGAATGGGCATAGACCACAAGACAGACAAAAAAGAAGTTCGTGAGATAATGTCCAGCCAGACCTGCAAACAACTTGTGTCACAAATTGTGAAAATAAGGCCAGCCAGAGAGATGAATAGAGACGAGTGATATCTGCAGCAGTAAACCTCAAGGGCTCAGAATGCTAAAGAAGAAGATGTCTATTCTGTGCTACTTTATTTGAAGTAAAAGTTCAGAGTACATTTGACAGTATTAATGTGTGTTTTTTTAAAGATATATTTTATACACTTTACACTATTCGTATTCAGCCGAATAGTTGGTCCCGCTATTCGTATTCGGCCGAATAGTGAAAATCACTATTCGGTGCAGCCCTAATTTAAAGATATATGCAAGGAGTTATCAGTAAACACGAACAGGTTGAAACATAAGGAATACAACCCCCCCACCCCATTCCACCTTAAAAAAAAACACATGTATTGGCTGACGCATTCCATAACCCCTGTTCCCTCTGTTTAGTCTAAAAAAAATCATCATTTTATTAATTGGAGGCCCTTTTAGGACTTGGCAAATCCAACCTCAGCATTTATTTATGCTGTTTGGCTTTAATTGGGCAATTTTGTGTTCAGCAGTTTGCCACCACTGCTTCAGAACAGTACAGCATTTACTCTCAACTGTCAAATTTAATGCAAAGCAGCCTGCTATGAGATCACATGCAGCTGACAGCGAACCCTGGTATTTCGGGACTGTAAAACTGCATTCACAACTTCTAAGTCACAGACATCAACAACTTGTACATTTCTTTTAAAATATTTGGTTAAATCGGGGAAAAAGTTGCCACTGTAAGTTCCAACAACCCTATACTCTCTGTTACCAGTAAAAAGTGGAGGTGATAAATAAATGAGGTATTTCAAATGCCATAAGACTGCAATAAAATCAGTTATAAGGCATACAACATGATCATGCCGGTTAGTGCAGACAACTCATGTCTGCAGTACACAAGAATCCCAATTTGGAGCTAATGAAATCTTCAAGCGTTAAATCAATGCAACTCAGCTACTGGTCATAGAAAACGCAGGCAACAAGTACTGCGATTGAGTACCTCCACCAGTTCCACCAAAGATGGAAAGGATAGGTCACCGCCATCGACTGCCACAAGACCATCTGCTCCTGTCAGAATCCGGTAGTGGTCAATTCTACTGTCACAGCTGACAGACAGAGTGCGGTCACCAACGTAATGGATGCTGTCACGGATGAGAAATACCCCATCTTCTTGACCACCCAGCAGTGTTTCTGTTTCCTCCCGTGTGATGCCTCCATGGTACCAGCTACGATGTGAACAGCATAGATGTCACAGTGCAACATGTGCCGAAACATGAAATTGACAGTTCCATCTATTATATAAAACCTGACTTGATTACAAGTATACAATTTAGCTTTTTTCTATAACAGCATCTAGTGTTACTTTCCACTTTTAAAAAATCTAGTCTCCGTAATCACAAACACACACACAAAAAGTTAACTGCATATCTTTTATAGGAGGATGAGGACCAACCGCAACATTTTTTCGCTGTTTGGTTTTACTAACCAATTTTATGTTCAATACTTTGCCATTGCTTCCTGAATGGTCAGCTCCCAATATAAAATAAGTAAAGGATCTTTTTCAAGGCCTTTACGCATCGGCCAAATTTCTATATTTTTAAAGGCCAATCAGCCTTCAGTGGGTGATGTGGTCAACATCACATTAGCCCTCTTAACTTCTCAGGACATCACCTGGTATCCATTTTAGGCTGAGCTGACCTGGAGGGCAAAGTTAATTTGGAAAACAAATCTGCAAAGGGACTGTTATCCTACTATATCGTAACCAACATATAACATTATCTTTTAGTATATTCTGATCTTACTTAATCTCAAGCCAAATATAATCTGATCCAACTGGCTTCAAGTTTTGGTTTCTGATAAGTCCCAGTCAACACACATACCTTTGTAAATAATATTATAATTCAAAGAAATCACATCAGCCAACTTGTAAAACTAATGAGGAGCATTTTCAAAACTTTCAAATCTCCAGTGAGTCTATTTAAAAAAAAAATGGCAACGTATTATAACAGTCTTTAACATGACTACTTTTACTAATCTTACATAAAGCTTAGACTATTCCAACCCTGTCTTCATTTCCTCTTTTAGCGCTTCAGGTATCAAGAGAGGTTTAAGGTTCTACTTCTTGCTCTTCTGGCCGCCTCAACCATGGACTCAGCATGCTGTTGTAGAGCTTCTCTGATGTTATCTGCCCTCTTGTTCTTGATTTACCTTGTGCACCACATCCCTCTCCTCTTTGATTGTATAACTGTATGGCACTGCCTCAAAAGATATTCTCTCTAAGTGAGCAAACTATTTTCTTTGCTTTCTTTGTAAGTAATTTAGTACTGGTTATGTGCCAACTCATTACCTACAATAAGTGAAGGCCTAACACTTCAAAGATGGCAGTCATCATCATCGTCACCATCCTGTAACACTGCATGTCGCTGGGTCACTAGATGCTGTTGACTGTCTGATCAGATCTCTCCACTTGTGACGGTCAGATGTGATGGACTTCATGGTTGCATGCCTAAAGCCTGTCCAGTCAGGTTCTGTTTCCAGATCTTTCTTGGTTTGCCTCCCCCTCCTCTCCTAAACCCTGTAGTATTGTTTTTGAGAGGCTGTTAGATACCATACCATTCCATATTCTGCCTTTTCACAGTATCTTTACAGAACTACATTTTTTTCAAGACTGCTGACACTCAGAGCAGTGCTAACGAAGAACCAATCCATCCTGACCATATATGAAATTGAGATTTACAATAATATCCTTGTTAAAATGAGTATGCTGATCACTATGGCCCGGTGGTCATGGGGTCGAATCTACATCAAACTGGGGTTTAATTAAGGAGACTGGGCTATTGTTTGCTTGCAATCTAAGTAAGATAACTTCTTCTGACTTCCAGTCAATTTGATGGATAGGCTGTTAAAGCTCTACATTTTTGCCAAATGCTATGGTATGCTAATGCAGTTTTCACATAATGACTGGAGACCATGCTCTCCTTTTCTTAGCTACAGCCAATTTGTTGTTTCTGACTACTTCCATCAATGACAAACTGCAAATTTCCTCGTGCTACAACAGCTCGAGATTTTATTAATACTATTAAATATTCAAAAAAATGTTCTATATTTTGGAAAGTTGGGTGGGAGAAAATAAAGTCATGACAAAGACAACTTACGGCATTGCATGCAGCGTGACGACCTGCCTTGGTCTGACATAATTAGCTGGGATCATCCCCTCTCTCCCAAACTGGTTTCTAGCCCTAAACCAGTTTGGATCCTGTAAAAACATACAATATCTTTGTACATAGCAATACAACACTTTTATTTGTAGACTGTGAAACACACATATATATTTTTAAAACTCTGTGCCCTTCCCACAATGAGGTTGGCTACAGTGCACCCACTACTGCTTCTGGAAATATTATGTAGTCCAGCCCTAATCTCTTGTACAGTACAACTCTTGTTCTACTGTCCGAACACCAGGAGAATGGTTTAAACTTTACAGGTCGCTGGGTGGATTACACAAGACAGTGTTCATTCTGGAGACAACATTGCAAATATAGAGAATCTATTTCAAGCAAACAAAAGTAGTAGAAGAAGGTTTAAATATTTGTTTTCCCCCCACACATATTTCACTTTAAATGAACACCATAGATCCTTAAATTGTGCTTATCTGTGTGTATTCAACACTGATTATGGGGAAGACTATCTAGGATGCAGAAGTGCACCACTAACTGTGGTGGTGCACCAGGACTAGGGCTCAAACAGATCAAGACATTCAGTACACCTCTCTTGAAATAGGTCACCTTCCAGCAGTATGGCCAAGTAGACAGGACTGGCATTTCTTTCTAAGTTAAACTTTATCCGCATCAGAGGCAAGGAATAAAGTCTGCACACAAATAAGCCACATCTGTAAAAAAGAAATATATAAAATTCCAGGAGGGAAGGGAGCAAAGGTTTGTTGGTTCTTGGACAGTACAGCTCTGAGGTTGAACCCTCCTTTATAGAAACGGGTAACAGATCATTTCAGAATTTTCTGTTGTCTGGAAGACCATCTCAGCCTAAAATTGATATTAGGAAATATCTTATGGATTAAAGTGGTCAGCATGATGGCACATTAGCCACCAAATGCTAACTGATATATAAACAAAAATAACACGTAGTGGATTTGATGTATGAGACTGGCGTCTGAATTTTATGGCTACTTGTGACTCTTAAAAATTAAAATCCAGAAATTATAATTATTTTCCTTTAAGACAACAAATACAAATAAATAAAACTGGCATAGAAAAACATGAAAAGTTATAAGTGGAAAAAGGTGAGGGGGGGGGGGGGAAAGAAAAAGACTGAGAGAGACAGAGAGAGATTTGGAGACAGGGAATGGAAGGAAAGACAGACAAGTAAGAGAAATCATAAAAGAATCAGAGACAAAAAAAGACAGGAAGAGAAAAAGACAAAGAACATGCTGTAAATACTCACAGAAGTTGGTTTCACGATAACAAGAAGATCTCCTCTCTGAAAAGGCAAGTCATCTTTTGATCTACCCGGAAACACATACTGGCCCACAACTTCATCACCTTGCTTCCACGTATGTGCCTGAAGACAATATTTCATTATTTAGTGTGGAGATTCTTGTCTTTAAGATCTTAACTAATGCACCTCTTATTAGCTCCATTTAAACACAGACCTTAAATAAACTCACAACAAGCTGTTCTTTTTTGGAATCTCCTGCCCACTTTTATCTGCTTGTTTTCACATATGAGCCTGATGGGTATATGTGTGTCGTTCAACAATACCAGGATTGTACAAAGAGCGACCAACACCTGGCGACAAAATATGCCACTATTTGGATGAGGATCACCCGAGCACAAGTCCCAGAAACCCTGTTTAACCGTTAGGTTATATTAGAGCCCCGACGATAGCCAGGATGTGGCTTTAAAATAAATAGAAACTGCGCCCCACATTGGGACAGGACCTTATGACCACAAGATTATTTTTATTAGAGCCCATCACCGTGTGAGTTCCGGGGCCCTATTATAGGGAAAACAAGAATATGCCCACTGCCTATCCAAAAGCATGTCGTATGAGTCGACTAATTGGAAGCTTTCTTCAAATTCAGAGTGCATCTACCTGAGAGGCAAGGAACTAACACAAATGAGTCAGATCTGTCAAACGGATACATGCGCAACACTCAGGTTCTGGAATAGGACTGCAGTCCAGAAGTGGACGAACAACCAGAACTTTCCACCAGAGTTAGCTGGTAAACGCAAAGAAGAAGAAGCAGATTAGAGCCCAACTAGACGACTCCAACTTGTGTGTTGTAGGCCCATGGAAAAAGGGGAGGTGGGTGGTCTTTTATCCTAAGGATTTAGGGCCCCATGGCTGAAGAACTTATAATTTACACATGAAAGAATCGCAAAAAAGGATTGCATTATAAAGTCATAGTTTTCTTCTTCTTTTTCATGGACTGTACACTTGTTCCGTGGACACAAAGAGTTCCGCTGACCACCACACAAGAAAAGCAAACTAAAAGTTGCAAACCCTTTAAAAGATTCAGCAGCTCCAATGCACTGGACTACAAAAGCTAAAACTATCTTTCAGAGGATTCGCAAACAATAAACAACAACTGTTATAAACATTAATCACAAGTAATGACCATTATCCTCCCAGTGGTACACTGTTTACATGGTGCCAGACTCTCATTAGGTAGGTGATGCAGTCAACATCATGCCGGCCACCTTTACTTCCCAGAACATTTTTAGCACCCATTATTGGCAGGAGACTTCCGGCCAAAATGGCCTACAGGCAGCTGAGTTTGTAAAAAGTTTAATGTCTCCAGCTAGGTTGTGGGTGATACAAATTCTTTTTTTCTGGACTGGGAGTCCTAAGGTTCTATCGACTAGCTTTTGAGTTGAGTGTTTGATGAGACACTGACAGTTGTAAAGTTAATCTTGTGCCCATGACACGCTGTTGACTGCCCTAAAATGGCAGGTGGCCAGTTATGTTCAGAATGGCATGTACTTTAAGGGGTGCAAAGCCAGCATTTATGATTGGTCATTCTGGTATGGGACCACTGGTGTTGGCACATATGGAAGTTGCTTTATGCATTTTTATTTTGCCTGTGCAAGTTTCAAGATGTTGCTGAGACTAACAAGGTTCTCACTAGTTTTCAAATGGGACAGTAAAGGAAATGTTGTGTGATTTCCACTGGCACAGAAACAGAGAAGGTATGGGGCAACCCATCTGCAGTGATGTTGGAACCTCGACTAGTGAGTAACTGTCAGGCCTATAGGAAAGCATCTAGCCACTGTGCTAGGGAGCAACGTTAGTTGCGTATTCTTTACAGGACGTTGCAGAACCAACAGCAGCCCTTGGCTGTTGTGTAGTTTCTCTAGGCAAATTTACGTCCAGTGGTTTGCCATTGCCTTCTTGGCGGTCGGCTCCCTGACACCACTGTCGAAACCAACGCAAGGCGCATGGCCCGCAGCTGGGATAGAACCCGGCACCCCGGCATTACGAAGCGTTCACATTGACTTAGCCAGAGAGCCGACTCTAGGAAGCATAGTTGTGTTATATTAATAAAAGTGTCCTGTGTGCAATTTTATTTTGTAAACTGGGTGGCTAAGGTTGCAAAATGTTTTATGTAATTAAACTAGTCAGTGATAATGATAGCTGATTACAGAATTTCCTAAATGTATTGAAACACTAATATTTTCAACATATATGAAAAACCTATTACATTTATATGGTCCATTGGCATCGCCTTACTCCTTGTTTAATCCTTATGCTTGGAACACTTCTCAAACCGATACGATGACTGAAAGAGGAAAACAAAAATTACTGAAATGCGGCAGCAATATAGTGATTTAATCTCATGTTTGCAAAGCCATGTGTCAATTTAATGTACTATGTGCAAAAAGATTTCTTGTTTAAGTTAACAACAAGGAAAGAGGAGGAGAAAGTGCTGTGTGAGGTAATCTTCATTTCTCTTTAGTTGTTCTTGATTCTGTCATTACATAAGATGTTAACTGTGTTTTACCCTTGCTCTGCACTCATTATATTTGTACAACAGGCTCTCTATGAGAGTTTGTTTGTTTGTTTTAGTATCCAGAAGCCATGAGTTGTTAACCCTTAGGCTCGGTATTATGGATATCGCAACCTTTCGGCCTTGATTCCATTGTAAATACCGTAAATCTGGGAGAAATGTGGCTTTTCTGCCTGCCCCCGGGAGTGAACCCGGACCACAAGGAGTTCGTCACCCGGTCACCTCGCAATCCAGTTTAGGGGCATTACTGTCAGATGGCCAAATCAATATTGTTCTTTTATGAAATGTTTGGTTGGTTTAATTTCTAGTCATCTAATTTATTTTAAATGTATCTCTTTGATACACTGGCAGTTCTTACAAGACATCCTATTTCTTTCACGATTTTCTGCTCATAGTTGTAGTAAGTGACAATGTCTGGAAATGCTAACATGTCGGCCAAAAAAAATAGTTCATTAAAGATTTGGCTTGCTAGACATATCTATCTTTCTATGTGTTAGCAATGGTATTATTTTTCCCCAGTTTGCCTCTGCGCATCATGTTGATTTCTATACACACACTTATATTAAAAATATAAAGCATGGAAAAGCCACACGTCCTAACAAAATAATAACGGACATGATAAAATGATTATCCAGCTCTGACACTGATAGAGGATCCTTCCCCCTTTAGGCATACTGGGCATACAGACCTAGACTGATATTTAATAGACCAACTGGCATTTAGTGGGTGATAGGATCAGCAATCCGCCAGCCACCTTTTCTTTCCAGGATTCCACCTGGTACCCTTCAAAGGTGGGTTAACAGCCAATTACTGCCTTTATTTTACCACTTTTGCAGTGTAGGCAGGAGGGTCTTTGAGCCTGAGGATTTATAGCAGCATGGCTAGTGCTGTTGCCACGAGTGTGCAGGTGAGGATTTTATTTTGCCCCAACAGAAAAATCCCCAGCCTGACCAAGGATTCAAACCTGGGTCTCCCGCTTGAGAGCTCAGCGTTCTAACCATTCGGCCAGCTGCTCCTTAAGGGCGAGTTGACCTGAGTAAAAGTCATTTGTAAAAAAAAGTCTGGTACCGTCAGGACCCGAACCCATAACCTTCCGATTCACAGGCAAGCATTTAGCCATTACACCACAGTGGCTCCTTTTGGCAGATACAATAACTGAAATTTTTAATGACATTTATAATAATGGCTATATTCCAAGGGACTTGAAAACATATATTTTCGCCACTGACCAAAAAGCCAAAAGCAGCTGAGTGTGAAGAGTAAAATAATGAAGCATCTGAGGAATAATCTGGGTTTCACAGAAATTAGTGGCATAACTTGTTTAAAGATGCTGGCTGAAAAATACACAGTATAAAAAAGTATTTATGCATGTTTTATAGATCACAAGAAGGCCTTTGAGAGGGTGCAACATAAAAACTTACTGCATGTCTGCAAAACATAGAATCAGATGGAGAGGATATCAGAATTATTAGGAACCTATACTAGTAGCAGCAAATAGCAGCATAATTTGTTTAAAGATGCTGGCTGAAAAATACAGTTTAAAAAAGTATTTATGCACGTTTTATAGATCACAAGAAGGCCTTTGAGAGGGTGCAACATAAAAACTTACTGCATGCCTGCAAAACATAGGATCAGATGGAGAGGATATCAGAATTATTAGGAACCTATACTAGTAGCAGCAAATAGCAGCTGTCAGAATTTCGTCTCACCACAGAGAAGAAAAAAAAAAATAGGAGTATGTCATGGATGTGTGCTATCCCCAAGCCTTTTCAACTTACATCATCATTATCATCATGTAGCAGGTCCTTTATAGAACATCGCTCTCATCACGGTCTGCGTGAAAGAAAGCCAGTCTCCCGCCTCATGTACTTTCATACTTAAGGAGTCGCTTATATCCTGTGCCCATCTTCATGTTGGTCGGCCGCTGTCACTCCGTCCTGGTACCATGCCTTCTGCTATTTCTTTTTCAAATCTGTCATGCCGCTTGATATGACCAATATATTTCAGCTTCCATGACAGGATGCTGTTTATTAGCCAATCTTCCTTGATATTCAGGTCTTTCAAGATGTCAGTATTTCTTAGATTTTTTGCCAAAGATATTCTGAGAATCTTTCTATAGCATTTCAGCTCAAAAGCCCCTATTCTCTTTCTTAAGGACTGGGAGATAGTCTACGACTCACACCCATATGTTGCTTCAGGGAAGGTGCTTAACCATAGACTTTTAATGTTGTTTAATCTTTGAATTGCTATGGCCATTTGTCGTGAATTGATCAAACCCACCCCTACACATTCGACTATTCGTGATGTTACCACTCCTAGCGGGCAGGTCACATTTCAAATATAGACGTGTCCGGTGGGTATATAGTCCATCATGTCTATTTATACCTGAATCTGGCGTAATAGGTAGTTCTGTATGCTCTAGGTATCTTGTGAAGTCTACATTTTCAAACTTACAGTTGTGGAATAGATATTTTCTAGATTAATATTCCTAGTCAGAAAAGCCTTTTTTTACTCCTCGGCGCACTGATTTGAGAGCTTCTTTTTCGGAAGCAACGCTAAGTCGTCCCACTTGATTCTCTGCCAGACTTTCAAGGTGACAAGAAGAGTTTCGCCTTTGTGCTTAAATTTTGTCTTGAACAAAGTACCAGTATAATCTTTGGAGGAGTCCTGAGCTGGGGATGATATCTCCTTGGAGGTCAGGCAGTAAATCAACAGTCTACAGAACTACCAACAGGGAAGTCATCTATGTCTAAGCCAGTGGTGGGCATCAGGTTGCAAGCCACCCTTTTGTCATCCATCAAATAGAATCCTTCAGACAACATTATGGGTGTTGTACCTTCACCATCATTTTATCCAGGAGCTTGTTTCTAGCTCCAGTGATTGACTTTGTGTCAGAGTATCCTCTCCAGGAGCTTGCTTGGGCTCCAGCAATTGACTTTGTATCAGAGTATCCTCTCCAGGAGCTTGCTTGGGCTCCAGCAATTAACTTTGTGTCAGATTATCCTCTCCAGGAGCTTGCTTGGGCTCCAGCAATTGACTTTGTATCAGAGTATCCTCTCCAGGAGCTTGTTTGTACCTCCAGTATTTGAGTGCCTAGTGTGGGACTGTCTTCAACATAACATCAGATTGAACATTCAACCAGTCCAAGTATCCATGGGTTCAGATAAGTGTAGTCAATCGTTGGTTTATTGCTAGGTTTCACTGTTAATCGTCCACATGATCATGAAGATGATCTAGGCTGACTCTGGGAGTCTAAGACATTCAGTCAGATCTGTTTTAAAGTTTTGGTCTCTCATATCATTCTGGGTTCTTGAAGTTCTTTGCTGATTTTTATATGATGTATGTGTTGCATTTATTACATGTCTTTGGAAGTTTTCATTATTGACTTGAGTGTTCATCATTCTCTGTTCAAACTGTATAGAGTTTAAATATGTGTAACCATTAATCTTAATCTGTGTTAACATGGCTGTGATATTACAATATCATAGCCTGGGGGCTATCGTCTTATAGTAGTGGGGACGTCCAGCCAAGTTGCGCCTAGGAGTATTATTATATATTCTGTAGTGCCATAGCTTGAGTTGCCCTACTCCTTAAATAGGTTGGGTGTATATAGGCCACAGGATACCCTTAAGATATATATATATATATATATATATATATATATATATATATATATATATATAAATATATATATATATATATATATATATATATATATATACGGACATTTTGTTTTTTACAGTTGGAGAATTTTCAGGACTGAATATTAATGGAATAATAATACACAATCTGAGATAAGCTGAAGACACAGTATTAGTAGCAGCAAGCGAGCATGAATTATAAGATCTAGTGGGTCAAGTCAACATGCAGAGTGTAGAGTATGGTTTAGATTTTAACTTACTAACGCTTGAAAAACAAAAACTATGGTAATTAACAAGAGCGACTAACAGTGAATATCACAGTAAATAGAGAGAGATTAGAACAAGTAACTAGTTTCTCCTATCTTGAACACATCACATTAAAAGACATATTTCTACAAACCATACTGGATGGAAGGGTCGAGGGCAAAAGAGCAAGATATAGACGATACAAGTGTAAGGGCAACATCAAGAGATGGACAAACACTGTTTGAAACAGCAATCTGAGAGTGTACAGCAAAGACTAGCGACGTGTTAGTGATACACTGCAGCAAACCTTCACTGTGGAGATGGCACCTGATTTACTTATTGATATCCACACCTCCATTATAGGCCGAAGTCAAAACTGACACTGAATTTTTTTAACTCTCTTGTTAACATTTAAAAAATGATTGCCATAAACGTAAGCTTCTGGAAATAGTGATACTTATAAAGGTACCAAATATTCTTAATCTGGTAGTCTGGTAGTCTTAGTTTCAGCTTCATAGCAAACGGGTCGCCCCATCTTTGCTCCGCTCCTGTGCCAGCGAAAAACACTCAGAATGTCTATCACAGTCCCTTGTGGAAAAATTGACAGACTGCTGTCTCAGCATATCTAGCATACACTCGCATTAAAGCATATGGTAGCCATCTGAAGTGCTAACACAAACAGTCCAACATTAGAAATGCAGTTCATCATATATTCTTAATATAAATATTCTTAATAAGAATAGTGTCACTACAGTGTAAGAAGTATATAAGTTTTATATGCCAATTATCATTATCTTTTCTGTCATGTATTTTTCAATTACAATTTAA